TCTTCAGAATTATGCATAGCTTCTTAAATATTTTTCATTCATTGGTTGATCTAATGTATTGTCTTAAAATTTACAATTGTAAACTATATTTTTTTCTTATTTTATTTTCAGAATTAACTGCAATTGCCGAATTGGAAGATGAAAAATTGGCAACATCTTTTGCACAAATTGAAAATCCTTCTTTGGATCAGGAGAAACGCCAAGCTTTTGCAAAACTTTCATTAACAAAAAGAAAATCATATTCTTCTTCGGATGAACAGGAAAATGCAAATAATAATAATAACAATGAAACGAATGACAATGATAAAAATCAGGGAGACAAAATAGATAACAACAAAGCATCAGCAGAACTAACAAATCATCAATCAAAAGATAAATCAAAAATACGCAAAGCACGTAGCAGAGCGGCGGTGACATCTAAACAAATCAAATTAACAGATATGACAAATATTGTAAATCAAAGTAAAATACATTTTGATCCACAAACAAATTCGACAATGGTTTTCGAACATTTCATAGATTCTACAAATACGGTTGAGATCAATTCAAAACAACAGCAGCTTAAGGAATCGGATCAGATTGTAAATAGTAAAAAGGATAATAATAATAATAGCAATGAAAATCACAATCTTGAGAAGACTAAAGAAAAACGAACAAGTGGAAGAAGGCTTCAAGCCAAGAATAAAGAAGAAACGGATGAGGCTAAGGAAAACTCACCACAAATAAAAAGAACAAGTTCAAGAGCGTCAAGGAGAAAAATAAATTCAAAAGAAGTTGATTTACCAAAGGGGGAGAATAAGGAGGAAGAAGTTACACATACGGAAAGTGTGGAGCGCAAAGGAAAATATCAAAGAAAAACCAGAAATCAGATCTCTGCCAAGACAAAGAATGGGAATATAAACAAAAATAAGGAGAATGAATCACCAAATGTTATAGAAATGTTCAATACAAATAAACAAAACTCCAAGATATCTGCAGAGAATTCCAGGAGGAATTCCAAACATACACACGACGAGAAAAAATCTAATGAAGCTCACACATCTAAACAAAACTCCAAGATATCTGCAGAAAGTTCAAATATGAATTCCTCCAAACATTCTCACGATATTAACGAAGCAAATGAGATTAGGCCCAATGAAGCTCATTCTTCAAATTCCAATCTTGATCAGCTAGAACCCAACAACGACAACAATAATAGAGAAACACCAACAAAACAAAAACAGAAAATCTACGTAACAACAACAACAACGCCAACAGCAGTTCCTACTGCACATGAAATTGATATTGAGGAGGAGGACACAACAGCAGCAAACATTAACAAAAATAATACATCTACACCCCAACAAAACACAAATAAAAGTCATGAGGACAACGGTCCAAAAACACATAAATTTTTCCATCGCAATAAATCCAATAAAAGCGATAATGAATCTGGACCTGAAGTTGTATCCAATAAAATGGCGGCAACAAGAAACAGTCGAACTATAAAGAAAGCTCCTCAACGTGGTGTACGCTCCTCACAAGTGAGACGAGAACAAGTTTATGAATTTCTTTCACAGTCACAAACCTCGGACTCCGATGGTGGTGCGGGTACATCTGGACGATTTGTTAAACCTGCAGATCCTACGGGAGATATCATTAAGAAATTGATCAAAGAAGGTAAAGTTGCGGTAGCTAAAAATGTCAAGGGTAAACCCAGACTTGTACGGAAACCCAAAACAATACAAAATAAAGTTATGTTTAAGGCCAAACAAAAGGCTGCTACGGGAAAACAAAAGAGTACAGCAAGTACGACGACAGTGACAGTTGGTAATAAAAATGCTGGACATACAGTGCCAACTAATAGCAAAAACCCTAAACGGCAACCGATTGTCAATAACCAATATGAAAATGATGATAATGTCGACAACTTTGACAATCACTTTTTAGATGACGATGATGATATCGGTAATGCTGATCTAGATGTTGATTATAATATGAATAAGTCGCCCAGCAATCATCAACAAACTCCACCGGCAGCTGTACCCTCAGAACATCAAGAGGGCACTTTTAGTAATTTAGCCAAATCGGTATTGATTAATCAAGCCGGTCGCATGTCTGCCGATGCTCAAAAAATTAAGGCCCAACGTTTATTGGCAATGGCCAAGAAAATTATCAGTACACCGAAAAATGTCAAAACACCACCACTACAAGAGCCGGGCTTACATGCTGATTTTTCACCCATTCCCTGGCCCAATAAACGACCAGCCACAAAAGCTTCACCTTGGCGTATAGATGAAGATGTCAATCTGCCAAGGGTATTTAATTTTTCAAGGAGTACAGGAAATTTACCTTCATTTTCAAGTGATTACATACCGCCCACACCAAGAAAGGAAACTCCCAAAAATCGATCAAGTATACCGGACCTACAGGAGACGACACCAACTATTGGACCACCTCCAATGGAACAACAAGAGCAACTAAATTCACCACTTCCCCAAATACCGCTACAACATTCCGCCTCTTCAACACCCTTACCACAGAACAATGGCAGCATACCCTCATCATTTTCCTCGAATGACTCCAATGCCGAAAATCAACCACCACCAAAGGCAGCAACAGGAGACAAACAAAATCAAAATGAAAACGATGATATATTTAATTTAAAACAACTACCGAATCCTCGTCGTGCATTAACCTATCGTAGCCCCCTGAAGGCAATAAATATTTTAGAAGTTGTACATCTGCCGCCTCTGCAAAAATCCTTGTTGGAAAAATCTCAAAATCAAGATATGTTGGGTATCGAAAAACTACCATCCTCCGATGGACATGTTTTCAAAACCCCACAAAAACCAACAACAACCACAAACAAAAAGAAAAAGAAACATAATTCCCCCGAAAGAGATCTCTTTGGTTTCGAGGAATTCCTCTCACAGCATGATGTGTCCAGTCAAGAATCGGACTGTGAGACGCCCATCAATCAGAAAACCCAACATGACAAATCAATGTCAACCAATACCAACACCTCGGCTAATATACATAATAAATTGACAAATTTACGTAAATTACGACCGGATGGTTGTTTGGATACAAGTCTACAACAACAACAAGTGGAAAATAATAAAGGTAATAAAAAAATGCCCAATCTTTTCAATGAACCTGGCAGGGAACACAACAAAAATGGTGGACAAAAGTCCATAAAACAAATGTTGTGTTCTACAATGATTGATGACCATCGGCCATCGACAAGTAAACGGGCCTTGGAGGAATTAAGATTGCGTAATTTACCGCCAAAAGCGGCGGCTGGTTTTAATTGCGCCACCAATTTTGATTCGAATATAAGTGAATTGTTTAAGGATCCCGAACCGGAAACAACATTCAATGAAGATGTGAGTAATCACATTTTATATTTTAGTTTTTAATTTTCTAAAAGCGATTTGAAATAATTTATTTTATATCTATACATGTAAAAGATAAATTATTTTTAAGGTAATTTTCAATACCGAATCGCAATATAAAATGGAAATTCTTGACAAAATCCGCTTTAATGTGATTTTGTTTTGCAAGAATGACCGATTCAACAGGGCCTCAAAGATTTCAGTTCGTCTTTGTTGGTAGTATACGAATCATACATTTATATACAGAACATACATACATAAATTCTTAAGAACCGATACACACACAGATACTAATTTTCTTTTCCACATTTCCAGGAAGCCCATCGTACTTATATTCGTCCGTATAAACGAAAACGACGATTGCGAGAGAATAAACTTGTCTTTGTTTTGGACAGTGATGAATCGGAAGACGAGAGTAACAGCGACTATAACAATTCCAAGTCGCCACAAAAAAGTAAAAAGCGAGGACATCATCATCATAACAGTAATGAAACAGATACAAGTTCTGAACAACAAAAACCAGCGAAAAGAAAACGAAAATGCAAAGAAAATCCCGAGCTGAAGACATTTGTTGACGAGTTTCAGGAAATGTGTAAAGAAGTGGAGAGTTTTCAAATAATTGTGGAAAAGAGTGCATAGGAGTAGAGGAAAACAAAAAACGTTTACCATACCGTAGGTTTAAGATAAATGTATATTTTTTGTTTTTTTTTTTTCAACAGATTATAGTCAAATATTTCTTATTTTATATGTATGCTTTTTAATTCACCTTTTAAAGGGTATTCTTCTTTGTATTTCATGTTCGTTCTAATTCAATTTTTTTAATATGTAATTTGTATGTGTATTTCGATGCAATTTAGTATTAAGTTAAATAAAAAAAATATATTTTAAGCTAAATTAGTCAACTTTAGGTTAAAAAAAAACCGCCCGAAACAAACAAATATACATATTGATTGATTCAATATTTTTCTTTCCAATTGTATACATATATACAATACAATTAGTTTCTTTATTAATGGGGAGATAAAAAAATGGACACAAAGATACTAAAACGGATCCAAAGCCTATACTGGGGGTGCATTTTTTAAAGAATGTTTTTCTAGGCCTATCCAAGGCGGGGATTTTTTAAAGAATATTTTTTCAAGGCCTATCCAAGGCGTGGATTTTTTAAACAATATTTTTTCAACGCCTATCAAAGGCATGGATTTATAAAGAATTATTTTTCAAGGCCTATACAAGGCGTGTATAGGCCAATACAAGGCGTGGATTTATAACAATTAATTTTTTAAAGATTTTTTAACAAATCACAACTCATTTCCATTTATTTTTCGCTTGTGGTGAATAACGCCAACCGTTTACGTCGTGTATTAGGTTAATAGCCAACTGTCAACATAACAGCTGTTTTATCTTACATACCCTCGTACTACAACAACACGTCAATTTATCAGTGACTAAACAATCAGAGAATTGAATGAAGAAAAAAAACAAGAAATCCTCTGTGATTAATGGATATTTGATAAACAAAATCACTTGTTCTTTTTATCAATTATTCTCTCAACATTAATAAATAATTAACATTTACAATAGTCGAACATTAAAAGGCAATAGGAAGTAAAACGAAAAAACATGGAAAGTGTTTATGCCCCGTTGAGTGAATCCTGTGCCAAGGCACTGGGAGATAAAGTTTATGAGAAACGGAAATTGGCCTCGCAGGAAATAGAAAAGTGGGTGGAACGATATACACATACATTTGTATTTTAATTGATATTAAATATTTCCATTTTTTTTATTTTTTTCTAGAATGGTTACCGAATTCAATGCCAAAAATAATTCCGCACAAATACGCAAACTAATTGAAGTGCTGTCAAATGATTTTGCCTCATCGAGAGATGCAAATAAACGCAAGGGTGGATTAATTGGATTGGCTGCCACCAGCTTGGGTCTGGGCAAAGATTCCTCCAAATATGTTAGTGAACTTGTTACTCCGATTTTAAATTGTCTTAGCGATCAGGATTTGAGGGTTCGATATTTTGCCTGTGAATCGCTGTATAATGTGGTTAAGGTGGCACGTTCTTCGATTATACCATTTTTCCCAGATTTATTTAGCGCCTTAAGTCGCCTTGTCGCCGATTCCGATCAAATGGTTAAAGACGGCAGTGAATTGTTGGATAGAATGCTAAAAGACATTGTAACGGAATCATCGCAAAATTTCAATTTGGAAGCATTTATACCACTACTGAAGGAACGTATTTATGTTAAAAATTCATATGTACGACAATATGTTATCTCTTGGATATCGATATTGAATGCCGTGCCCGAAATCAATATGGTTACATATTTGACAGATATTATCGATGGCCTGTTTACCATGCTCGAGGATAATACCCAGGAAATACAGAGAATGTGTGAGACAACATTGACACAATTTTTAAAATCCATACGTAATGATTCGAGTTCGGTGCGTATGGAGGATACAATTAATATTTTAATCACACATGCCCAATCACCAAATGAGTTGATAAAGGTATGTTATTTTTATTTTATTTTTTACAAAATTGGTCATTTGAAAATAATTCTTGTTCTTGTTTCCTGCAGTCTACTGCCATAACATGGATACGGGAATTTGTTATTATATTTGGTTCACAAGTTTTACCCTATGCCAGTGGTATTTTTACAGCCATCCTACCCTGTCTGGAGTATAATAATGATAATATGAAAAACATAAAAGAATGTGCCGTTTCGGTCAACAAATCGATGATGAAATTGGTGTCCTCCAAAGAACATAAATCACAAAATATTGAACAATTAGATTTACGATCGATAATGGCAGTTTTATCACAATATTTAACACACAATTCGGTACAAACCAAAGTTGCGGTATTGGAATGGATACATCATTTGATTATACATTTTCCCAATGAGGTAAGATATTCAGTAAATTTAGTTTTTTTTTAAGTGGAGAGGAGAAACGTATTTTCAAAAGAAAGAACAAGAAAAACGCGAGCGTGAGCAAATCGAGATATTCATTTAGTCAGAATGGAGTCCGGAAATTTTACCAACGAGTAAAACACACAATCGAAGGCTTTGGTGCAGGCACATCATCCAGTAGAGATTAAAAAGGAAACCTGGTGACAGATATAGACAGCGTGTCGAGGATCTGAAGGAAACATTTTGCAAATGACGGTATAGATGGTATACCACCTAGCCAATATGAGGTCTGAATAGCAATTAATCGTCTGAAGTATCATAAAGCAGCAGGTGCCGAACTATTCAAGGCCGGTACACTGATCAGGAGCATGATTTAGTCAACGATTTTATATACCTTTGTACCGCCATATACAAAACTAATGACATCAGTTTTGAAATCCGAAATATATTATAATATAAATATGCGTAGGCTCCTGATAGATTTTCGGTATTCTGAATGGTTGAATTGAACTAAACGACGTAGTTATGTATTAAATGCATGTTATAAACTTTTTTTCAGATGTCAAACCATTCCAGCCAATTGGGTAATAATTTGCTAAATATTTTATCGGATAATTCCGATGAGGTTGTATTGCGGTGTATATCGGTTTTAGCGGAAATTGTCAACTCACAACATTCGAAAGGTAAGTTATTGATTGCTATGAAAAATTTAGATCTGTTATAAAATCTATCTCAATTTCCTTTGCAGAAACAACCGACTTCAATAAGGCCCATTATAGGAAATTCCTTTTAAGTCTTGTTAACCTATTTAGTGAAGACAAAAGCATTTTGGATTATAGAGCCAGTCTGATAATCAGGTAAGAATATTACTAAAATTAAACAATTTCAATATTAATATGTTATTCTTTTCGCTTTCTAGACAACTATGTGTCTTATTAAATGCTGAATATATTTATTTAACATTTGCCGAAATCATTATCGAAGAGGTTAGCAATTTAAAATTTGCATCACTTTTGGTACGACTTTTAAACAGTATTCTAATGACATCATCCGAACTGTTTGAATTGCGTACCACGTTGAGAGATATTTCAAATCCCAATTCGGCCAACTTATTTAAGACACTCTATTTAAGTTGGGCCCATTGTCCGGTGTCGACAATATCTATATGTTTGTTATCACAAAGTTATCAACATGTATCACAATTGGTGAATCTGTTGTAAGTGATATATGTTTCTTTTCATTACAATTTGAGGTCATTAATATTTAATTTCTTTTTCATAGTGCTGAAATAGAAATAACTTTGGAGCTACTAACAGAATTGGATAAATTAGTGCAATTAATAGAAACACCCATATTTGCGTGTAAGTATTAATGTTGTAATAATTGTTCAGTTCCCCAACCTGCTGTTCAATTATTCAAAATATCGTCGATTTTCTTTTATTGCAATTGAAAAGTTTTACCATTGTTTTACTCTGTTTCATTTTTCTTTTTAGCTCTTCGCTTAACATTGGTCTCCAAAGACAATAATTGCGCAGATGCCCAATATTTGGCCCATGCTTTGTTCGGTATTCTCATGCTGCTACCTCAGACCGATGCTTTCAATATGTTGAAAAATCGTTTACAATGTATACCAAACTATTGGGGACAACAGCCAATGTAAGGTTTTTTATTCAATATTAGTAATAATTTAAATTTTATAATAAATTTGTTTTGTATTTCAGCAGTGAAAAATATTCCCTACAATACAAGAGTAATATAAATTTTGTCGAACTATTGGAACACTTTAAGAAAGTCCAAAGAACTCATCGTGAACAACGTATGACACAGCGTAAACGTAGTGTATTAGTTAATGATATTTAAGCAAAACAAACGCGAAATGTGTATTTGGCTTGCAAATTCATAAACAAAAAATAAATGTTTTTTATTTATAATGTTTTTATACATGTTTGTATCTTTAAGTTAAGCTGTGATGCTAATCAAAAATAAATCTATTATTTACTTAGGTAAATTGAAATTATATATGTCTCTTTCCCTTTACAAAAGTTGAAATTTTTGTTCATTGTACTGAATTAAGAATGTGTATTAGATTTTGTTCAACCCGATTGGCTCTCGGGTATATTTCAGCCGTTTTCATGCTTTAAATACTCAAATTATTATTATTGCGATTGCAAAGGCATTTTGTACAGCGTACCGAATTTTAAATGGTGCTTAAAATACTCAACATTTGTCCTATTTATCGCTAATAATTGCGAAATTTAATACTATAAGCGATATGTCGTTATAAACGATATCAAATAAAGGACAGGACATTTCTAGGGACTTTGGATACAACCGTTATAAACGATTTCATAAACAACCAAATCGCTTATAACGAAGGTCAATGGAGCAGCGAAATTAATAGCTATAAATGATATTCGTTATAAACCATAACAAATAAGTTTGCCCGATTGCCAGTAAGTTCCCCTTGATCATTCTATCTAATTCGTGACTTTCCCCTTCTGCATGTGCCATCACCATCAGCTTGGTCTTCTCGCATTTACTGCAAGACCCACTTTGGCAGACTCCTTCTCAATTTGTTCAAAGGTTGATATTACCGATTGCAATGTTCGAACTATCAAATCGATGTCATCGGCGTAGAAGAAAAACATGAGTTGTTTGGTGTACAGAGAGCCATATTTGTTCACTTTTGCCTCTCGTAAACCTTTTCAAGCAGGATGCTAAAAACGAACACGTCAGACTGGCACATTGTCTGAATCCTCGTTCGGTACTGAAGGACTCTGAAAGGACCTCTCGAATTTTAACTGCTGACCTTGTACCAGTTAAAGTTATCCTGCATAGCCGTATTAATTTGGCAGGAATGCCGAACGCAAACATGGCTTTAAATACCTCTGAACAGATAGTGCTGTCGAATGCGGCTTTATAGTCGACGAATAGGTGAAATCTATCGATGCGTTTTTCGTGAGTCTTTTCCATTATTTGGCGCAGAGTGAAAATCTGGTCAATGGTGGATTTGATCAGATCCAATAATGTCATTGTCCATTCGCTTCAGTCATTCACACAAAACGCTGGATATCACTCTATGTGCGTTTGGAAGGAGACTTATTCCTCTATAGTTGGCACATATCGTCTTGTCTCCTTTTTTGTGCACGGGAAACAGAATGCTGAAGTTCTAAATATTGGGCATGCATTCCTCTAGCCAAATTGTACTAATCAGCTGGTGCATGCTCCTGATCAGCGTCTGACCACCGGCCTTGAATAGTTCGGCTGGTAATCCGTCGGCTGCTGCTGCTGCTTCATTATTCTTCAGCCGGTTAATTTCATACAGTCATTTTATACCGCCATTTCTTATTAATTCTGGGGTATCGCTGTCTTTATCTGTCAGCAGGTTTTCTTCTCCATCTCGACAGGAGGATGTACCTGCACCAAAGCCTTCGGTATGGTGTTTTACACATAACCTGAAAATTAAACATTTTAAATAGTTTCTTTGCTATGTTTCAATTCGATCTTTTTTAATATATTTGAAAGTACGACTCGTATTTCTTTTTGTGTTTTAAGTTATTGGCCCGCCTCCCGTTTGTCGAGTATTAACAGCGCCACCACCAAAAGTACTGCTCGTTCTTGCTTACGTTCCACTTTTGATGAATAAAAAACGCCCGTTATTATTTAACTTTTCAAATCCCTTCCAATCATATGGTAGTCCAACAATACCAATCCCACATCACTAAAAGTAATCAGTAATTGATAAACAATTACTTTGTAGCATATGGAATAATCGATTACTTAAAGTTGAATACCGTCTGTTTCAGCAATGCAGTTCTCTTGCAGTTCCATCCCACTTTATTGGTAAATATTTCTCTGGACTACGAGGGCAGTTCGGAAAGTTTTTAGCCTAGCACTTCCATACCTGTTAAATTTTATTTCGATCTGGCAACTCCTTCATATAGGAACAGGAGTTCAATAAAGACGCATACGCAGTTTTTTATGATGGACAAATTAGAAATGCGGGCTTTCATTATAAAAAATTGCGGATGGGTTTTTCTGAACACTTGTTTCTATATGAAGGAGTTGCCAGATCGAAACAAAATTTAACATGCAGAGATGGAAATTTACAAAACACTTAACTTTTTTTCTGTTTATACCGCGCTTTTTGTGCTAGGCTAAGAACTTTCCGAACTGCCCTCGTACTTTGAGTTCTTCGTTCTTCTCCCCCATTCTTTAGCATGTGGAACGATTTTCAATTTGTATTGGTTGCGAACAACCCTGTGAAACCAAATCCAACAAATATACAACATTTACATTTCAGATTGCATCAGTTTCTGGTTTCGAGAGTTAAAAGTGCGTGCAGTTGTTGTTGGCAGTTGTGACATTGTTTGCATTTAGTGTTTATCCAGATTTTGAAGTGAAGAACCAACCCAAAAACAACAAATAAATAAAAACAAGCAAAATAATATTGAACTATTCCAGGGCTTTCAATGCCCGCTCTTCTCCCTCCGATAAAGTCGGATAAAGAACTTGTTAGCTGTTAAGAAACTAGGACAACAAATCTGCTAGACAACAAGAAGACTGAACACCAGAATAGATAGTGAAGAATTTCACAATCTAAGGTAAATAAAATAAAAAAAAAAAACACATTATTAGATCGGGGTTTTGCCAAGTATTGAACATTGATTTCAGATTTCATCAGTTTCTGTTTCGAGTTAAAAGTGTAGTTGTTGGCAGTGGCATTGTTTGCATTTGGTGTTCACCCAAAATTTTGAAGTGAAGAAACCCAAAAGCAACAAATAAAGTAATATTGAACTATTTCAGGGCTTTCAATGTCCACTTCCCAAAATAGGCTAGACAAAATGAAGGCTGAACACAAGAATAGATTGTAAAGAATTTCACAATCGAAAGTTAATACACATATTATCATTATTAGATTGGGGTTTTACCAAGAATAATTGATAAGCTTGGAAGGCTATCTTAATACAAGTTCTTTGGTACATGTGTTTGTGGGTAACATGTTTTTGGCGGACGCTCTATGCTCCCAAGTTTGCAATGCACCTGGCTAATATTCTGTTTGTCTGCATTTATTTGACTCAATTAATATTCCAAATACCGTTTTGAATAAGCACACCACCAGCGTGATGAATGTTCTGTTTTTTTACAATATCTAGTTTTAAGAATTATTATCACTGTCCCTTTTAGTTTCTGCAAACGCAGCAATTGTCTTTGTATGTACGTCTAGGATGCTCAGGTTTTTCTAAAATTTTTTCCAGAGGTAGATATTTTTAGCCTATTTATATATATATATATATATATATATCTGCTTATTTGACTCGGAAGTTCTACGGATCCGGTTAATACAAAATAGATATGAAACCGTTTCGGAACCCGATTTTTTCTTGAAAATCTACCTAAAAGTCGAACTTGGGTCCATTAAAGTCCCTCATCGATCACGACTCAAATCATAGACTACAATTTGCCCTTTACAAAATGGTATATGCGCGCTAATTTGTTACCGAATGTGGGAAATATTTAAAAATGTATTAACAAATTATTTTATTTTCTCAGAAAACTGAATATGTCAGAACAACTAAACAGTCCACACATTAAGATGCCTAAGATGCATAAGATGCCTTGGTATTATTATTGACGATAAGCTAACATTTGATAGTCATATTGATAATGTAGTCACCCATACACATTTAACATTACGACAACTTTATAACACGGATTTAATTCTACCCCGCAATATAAAGTTACAACTGGTGCACTCACTAATAATGTCTCATATACTGTACTGCATTGAAATATTCTCTGGCACAACCAAAACAAATATGAAAAGGATTAAGCTATCGATTCACAGAGTTGTTCGTTATCTTTTTTCGCTTAAAAAATTTGACCATGTTAGCACTAAAGTTAAAGAATTTCTTGGTTGTCATTTTTGGAGATTTATAGACTGTAGAACATTAATGCTGTTTTATAATGCTACTAAAAATCAAAGTCCTGATTTTCTACTACAAATGTTTCCATTCTGTCGGTCAAGCAGAACAAACCAATTAATTGTTCCAAGAGCTATCGGTCAAATGAATAAATCATTTCAGGTACGAATTGCCAGAACTTTCAATAAGCTCCCGCATTCCCTAAAGCAATTTTCATTATCAAGCAGCACATATAAATTAAAAATAATAGACCACTACGGTTCCACTTAATTATCTGTACTCTATAAATATGATTTATAATGAACCCTTTCCGCAATACCTTCGAAATGGAAAATCGGGTATGCTTAAATTGATTTTATGTCTAAAATATCTAAACAAATTATAATATTATTTACTAATGTTTTTGGAGTAGTTCTCAATTTTTCTACCTAAACTAAAGTATGTCATTTTTTTTATAATATACAAATTTAAATTCTTATATTTTATACAATGCTGTTTATTACTAAATATTGAATATGTGATATTAATACACTTACTTGAGTAGTTAGCCACTTGCCAAATATTGAAATATATTATTATTTTTAGAATAATACCTTCTAAGATATCATTAAGAAATCTTGTTAAATGGAGTAGTATAGTTTGCAATTTAAATGAAATCGGCCTTAATGGCTTCAAATTGCATTTTTGGAATAAATAAATAAATAAATAATATCGACCATTAATTTTATTTGAGTACCATTTAGTACCAAATTTCATGATTATAAAGGTTCAACCAAATCCAAATTTTACCAAATATAGTTCCATTTAGCACACATTATTTCCATAAGTACCCTCTTCAACCATCAACCATCCAACAAAACTTCCTGCATACCCCGACCCTACACCCCCACAATGATTCCAAATTCTAATTTCAGGATTCCAACTCTTTGGTTCACT